TTCCAAACAATATTATTTGCTCACACCAGTGGAGTGGTACTCTAAAGAGCAAATTGCTTAGAGCGTTACTTCAAGAAGAGATCTCAAACCTGCTTTTCCAAGTTTGAAATGTTTTACCTGTCTTGTACACATGTGCTCAAATTTCAATTACAGAAATAACATTTCCTGCCTGTGAATCAGGTAGATTCCCTTTTATATATTCTGATGGATTGATTTTTTTTTTTTTTTTTTTTTTTGGTCTTTTTGAGACAGGGTGTCGCTATGCAGTTCAGGCTGGCCTTGAGCTCACTTTGTAGCCCACGCTGGTCTCGAACACGCAGTGATCCTCCTGCCTCAGCCTCCTGAGTGCTGGGATTATGGTGCAACACCATGCCTGGCCTTTGATTTTTGGGTTTTTTTTTTTTTTCCGGATACAAGGTCTCACTATGTAATTGAAGATGGCCTCAAATTTGAGATCTGACTCAGCATCTTGAGTTCTGGCATTACAGGCGTATGCCACTGTGCTCAGCTTAGACTGGCTTGGATTACTGATTAAGTAGTACTAATACTATTATATTATTGTTGTTGTTGTTATTATTATTAAAGCCTAGGCTGTTATGGGATCAAGATAAAATGCTGATTATAAAATAAGCTATGATTTGATGAAGATACATCATCTGCTGCTTGATGACTCAGGTCCCTTTGATTCGAGTTCACCCAAGCTGGTACTCCGGATTGTGACAACTAGGGTGAGTGTGAGGACACAGGAGTGTGCGCTAGGTCAAGGACAATGGCGGGACAGGAAGGCGACAGTGACAATGGCATGTTGGAATTTCAGGCGCTGACTTAGTTGGAGCTGAGCCAAAGTCAGAGGTGAGGCCAAGCTCGCCCAGCAGGCTGCGCTAACGTCACAACCCCGCTCGCACAGACACTCTCCTGATGTCCCACTGGGTGCCGGGCAGCCGCTGATTCTCCAGGAACAGTGCCTTCAAGAAGACAGGGTTTTCTCAGCTATCCCCCTGCTGGGTATTTTCCCAGAAGATCTAAAAACATCATATCACAGTGATATATGTGCACCTATGTTCATAGCAGCACAATTTGTAAT